GCTACTAGAAAAAGGCAGAATGTCCCTGGAACCATTCAGAATGTCCCTGGAACCATTCAGAATGTCCCTGGAACCATTCAGAATGTCCCTGGAACAATTCAGAATGTCCCTGGAACCGCTCAGACTGTCCCTGGAACCAGTCAGACTGTCTGCCACTAGAAAAAGGCAGAATGTGCATTGTGCATGCTATTTAGATTTCTTTTTTTTCCGGATTTCTCCTGATCTTGTCCAAACACATAATGGTGGAAACGGATTTCTCCCACCGTGCGGTGAAAGTTGATTTACCACAAGCGGAAGCTGAGTTAGTTGCATAAAGTTGATTTACCACAAAGTGAAAGTTGATTTACCACAAGGTGAAAGTTGATTTACCACAAGGCATTTAGAACCGTCAATCCACTTGAGGTAAATCAACGAGTTCACCGCTCGTTGATTCCACAGAGCAAAGATTTGAGATCTTGTCTCATTGCATAATGCTACGACTTCCTGACATTGGAAAGGTATTCCCTACGTAGTGCCCAAAATGTCTGCAATGGCCAGCATGCCCCTGTCAGAATGTACTACCCGTAGTACCCGGACATTTAGACGTATCAATGCCCCGAGTATGCACCTGGCCAACTTCACATCCAGGTAAGTTCTGACAGGGTCATTCTGGCTAATGCAAACTTTTAAGAATATGTGCATAGAAAAATGATTTTTTGAATTGTTTTCAGGAAAACAGGTTTTTTTTTCAAGCAGAGGGAAAAAGGTATCCATATTCATCTGTGTGCTGAAGGATCCTTCGGGCACGCAGTCAGTCTGGGGTGGGGTAGGATGTGATGTGACGCTGCAATGGAGACAAATGAATGGAGTTCACGCATACTGTGAGAAGAGGAGAGGAGAGGAGAGGAGAGGAGAGAGGAGAGGCTGTCTCTTATACACATCTAGATGTGTATAAGAGACAGCACACACACAGGTCAAGAGATCAAACCTCAAAATGTCCTTGAAAAAAGCTTGCATCAATCGCAAATAACACGCTAGGGGGGGATATAGAGTATATAAACCCCTTTTAGCAAGGACAAGGAGGGAGGGAGGGAGAGAGAGAGAGAGAGAGAGAGAGAGAGAGAGAGAGAGAGAGAGAGAGAGAGAGAGAGAGAGAGNCATATCACCTTCAGGAATAATATCAAATGGTAGAAGTGTGTACATGATGGAAATGATGAGCTGTGCCACACAAACAAGAAGAAACACAAGAACACACAACAGAACTTCAACTCAATGAATCGAGCTTTATACATTTCAGTGTACAGATGACGAAAGGATGCGCAGGGATCCTTCAGTCGTCCCCCGAATACAACGCACGGTCATTATAGCTGAATTTAGACTGAAAGATAGAGCAAATTCAGCTATAATGACCGTGCGTTGTATTCGGGGGAAGACTGTAGCCATTATTATCTATGAAGTTATGAACATGTGAGGACCTGCCAAAACACAGACTGAGAACACTGCTGATTTCCGGGATTTGCCGCTGGAATGTATGCCTTGCTGACTGAGATTCCCGCATTCTGCTGTGATTTCGAAGTCTGTGTGTGTGCGCGTGCCTGCTGGTCTGCGTGCCTGTCGGAGTGCTTGTCGGCCTGAGTGTGTGTCTGGCGCGCAAGGGCACTTGTCTGAAGTCCGATCAACGGTCCTGATCGCAGCCCCAAGTCCTGGTCCTACGATCCTGGCCTAAAAAACGGCCTGCCTGGGTCCCTACCAGACGTCCAGGCAATGCTGCTGATGCAGCCGGGTCCTGCGGACTGGGCCTGGTCGCATGCCCAAGCCCGGTTCCAGATACGGACCAATCGGAACCTGGGCTACAATGGCCAACACTGAAATCCACTGGTCCGAACAGGCATCTGCCTGTTCAGACAAAAGGAAAAGTCCGAACCGACACATCTGAAACAGACAAAAATAGTCCAGACAAAACCCAGCAAAAAATAATAAATGCTGAATAAAGGAGAGCACAGCACATGCGGAATCCAATGTGCACCTGGCCTGGAAAAATGGCCGTGGGCCTCCAGGTCGCTCACCAAAATGGGTGCGCGGCCTGGGGGCCTGGATCAACCGGCGGGCCCAAAAACAGGGCCCGTGTGGCGGCCTCAGCATGCTACACAGAGTCAGGAATGGCGGCCTGAAGAGAGGAGGACATAGCTGCTGCTGCTTTTCTGTTGTCTTTTGAACACCGGGCAGATGAAGAGGGCCCTTAGTAGAAGAGGTCCTCCATAGCCCAGACCTGTCGGAGGTGGAGGGAGATGGAGGTCATGGTTATGGTGGACCTCATATTGTGCTGGCAGTGGAAGACGGATTCGGACATAGATTCTGGTTCAGCCATTCATTATTACTATTATTATTATTGTTATTATTATCGAGTAAGAGAGGGGGAGATAAGGAGGAGGAGACCGATTGACGGCGAGAAGGGGGATTTGTCATTGGTCTTTTGCGGGTGTACATCTTCTTTTTTCGTGTTCTTTCTTTCTTCTTCGTCTTCCTCTTCTTCTTCTTTTTCTCTCTCTCTCCTCTCAATTTCATTCATTTCTTTTTGCAATTGGGCGGAATTGTACTTCATTGTGTATTTTCACTTTGGAATAGTAACAAACAAAAGGAATGAAGGATCGATTTTCAGATTCTCTCTCTCTCTCTCTCTCTCTCTCTCTCTCTCTCTCTCTCTCTCTCTCTCTCTCTCTCTCTCTCTCTCTCTCTCTCTCACGCAGGATAGTAACAAACAAAAGGAATGAAGGATCGATTTTCAGATTCGAAGAATGGCAGGGATTCATCGTAACCCAAGCGTCAGCAGAGCGGTCACCAACATTGAGAATGGTCATCATTTGCACCAATCTCTTTGGAACAGCAAGGCCCTAGAAAACTAGAGACAGAGTTCACATGCATGATTGGTTGCCTAGCAAGGCCCTAGAAAACTAGAGACAGAGTTCACATGCAATTTGGTTCATGGGAAGGGGAAGGGGGAGGAGGAGGGGGAGGAGGAAGAGGTGGAAGGAAATGGAGGAGGAGGAGGAAGGAGGAGGAGCCAGAAAAACCGGGGGCATCTCCTCCTCCTCCTTTCCCTTCTCCTCCTCCTCCTCCTCTCTTCTGGCTCGTCCTTCCTCTTCCTCTTCTTCTTCATTTCTTCTAATTCTAACTCTCCTCCTCCTCGTCCTCCTCCTTCCGTCGTCATCTTCCTACAACGAAGAAGACGACGAAGAAGAAGCAGCAGCAGCCACAGGCAAGGAGAGCAAAAGCAAAACAGACCCTTCCGTTGTCTCATGCGATGGCTCACCCACACATGAGACAACGAAAGGGAAAATCACAGAACAACTATCATGCTATATAACATACAATGCACACAGGCGAGTTTCAATGAGTGGACAACGTACACAGCCCAGAATGCGTGCATTGTTCAGAAGCCGCAAAGCCCTGTGCGGATCCCATAACTCCCACATCAGCCGCTGTAGAAGGAGAGGCATATCACGGATTCTCTGCACAACAACCAACCAACCAACCAACCAACGACAATGACGGCAAGGCAGCATATGCGTTAGGCGAAATGAGATGACACGCTTCGCTCCATGTGATCAACCGAGCTACAGACAGGCTGTTAGTCTTCAGCAAGCAACAGAAAGATGTAGGTTTTCAAACGTTTTTCTTTTCCACTTTCCATTCATTACCCGCGGGACTCGACCCTATCAAATGATCGAAGAGAAGGCTTTAATGCCAAATTCCAAATCTTAATTGTGTGCGGAATACGGCCTTGCATGAGTTACTTGGAGAGCCAAATGCAACGAAAGGTGCATGTACGGTTTTTTTTTGGAGGAGAGAAAAAGCAAAGCATGTCGAATTTTGTGACATCCAGCGTCATCAAAGTGACCTCACATTATTCATGAATGCTTACTTCTTAAAAGAAAAGTGTCGCTGAGGGGACAGGCGTACGTGTTTGCACTTCAATTTCCAAATCATTTCCCACCATAGACATCCATTCTGTACTGAACAGATACAAACAATGTGAAGTGCAAGGTCCCTCACGTCTGTGTGAACAGCCACATAGCGCCTGCGTAGGCGTGCCTACATGTGTGTGTGTGTGTGTGCACTCTTGTGTGTCTTGTGCGACTGTTTTGTCGTATTCATGGCACACACAACTCTTCACACAAACAGATAGCTGCGCCAAACTGTTTCGTCAGACTTTCACCAACTCTTTGTGTGTGTGTGGGGCGGGGCGGCGAGGCGCGGGGAAGGGGGAGGCACCCCCAGTGGGAGGTGGAAAGAGGGAAGAGGGCCCAGATCATGTCAAAACTTTGTTCTTACTGCTTTTTTTTTTTTTTTTTTTTTTTTTTGGGTGTGTGTTCCTAAGGTGAAATCCTGGGCGCCCGCGTACCAATCCCCTGCCCTGGTAGGCGCCCGGGTGCCCGGCCGGGCGTAATGCCCTGGCGGGGCCCCGAGCGCTTTTAGCGCCAACTTCAAAAAATCCCGAACTGGCCTGATTTCGGGCCTGGACGGGGGTAGGAGATCCACAGGGTCCTCGGGCCCCCGAGAAAAAAAAATTCATGGAGACCCTACTGGCCCCGCAGTTTGAAAAAACAAGGGCGATTTCGGGCCGCCAATCTGCAGGATTGACGACCTGATATTGCCCATTTAGTTTATTTTTTTTTCCCACTATGAACGGGTGATTTCCCGTGGGCATTTGCTTTTGAACGTCGGCGCGAGATCGCATGCGCACATTTCGTCATCCATTGCCTGGCCCCAGCTGCCCATTCGATTTTCAATGCCGGCGAGAGATGGCATGGGCACACCTCGTC